ATGTTCTTGATCACTAGGGCTTATGGCTATGAGTGGTAGGTGGTTACTTTTCAGTTCTCATGTACTATATATACCGGGCACAAGCAAACCCAGGCCCGCAGGCTGGTCATGGCCCTTTGGGCTCTTTGCTCTGGCCCTCATCTGCTCTGACCCCCCCCCCCTTTCAGTATGCAGATGCAGTGGCCAACCTCATCCCCAGTCTGAGAAGAGGGCCGAGTCAGAGATACACCATTGCCAAGCACTTTTTGGAGGGTGCTTGACAGCAGAGTGTTTATCTCCTTCCTCTGGGCCCTGGGAAGACCGGCCACTGCCTTCTCAGGGACCAGAAGAGTTGGGGAGACAAAAGCATCGCTGCAAGCTGTGTGTTTGGCTGGCCTCCTCTGGACCCGGAGAAGGCGGGCCACTGTCTTCCCAGGACCCAAAATAGCTGGGGAGGCAAACACACTGCCACCGCTTGACAATAGCATGTTTTTCTCCCCAGAGATAGACCCGCCCCTTCCCTCTCCTGGCCCCTGCCCTTCTGGCCATGGCTCCATCCACTTATGGCTCTGATCCTGGGCCCTCCAGCCCATGACCCCACCCCTTCTGGCCCCATCTGCACTTCCTCCTGGCCCGCCCCTTGTGGCTGGGCCCACAAGGCGGGCCCAGGGCAAAAAAAAATAAATCTCCATGCCTGATATATACTAATGTATGAATCAAAAATTCAACCCAAAAAAAAAGATTTTCCTATGTCTTGGGGAAAGGCCATGAGCCATTTTAGACACCCCCCACTCCTGGGAGGAGGGGTTAATTGTGAAGTGTTGGTATGGAATAGAAGTCTGGTTTGATGCCTGTGCACCAACATTACATGTGAAAAATGTGCATATGAAAACACTGGCAGTCATTACATTTTGAGTGTACATGATTGTGCTTCATTGTTTGTGTGTGTGTATGTATTAGCAACACAACAAAACTGCTATATAGTGGGAATCAGCTTAGTTCCCAGATTATTTGTATAGTTAGACAGCAATGGAAGTGAGAACAAGCAACTATATTAAAATTAATTCTACTTCAGATGTATTTTTATTATTCTCTAACTGCTCTTTGAAAGGGAACAGCTTTTCCTGTCATGTTTAATAGAGAGCAGCATAGTTCTTTGACGTCTAAATACAATCCCTAGTTACAATGCCAGTTCATTGCTTCTTGGAATGTCTGGACTTGGAAAGACTCCCAGGCCTTTAACTGATTGGGTGAAAATGAACACATATTGGCATTTCAGCCTTGGAAACAGAATCCAAGTTCCTGGCACTTGGGTACACATGTTCCAGTTGTTCTAAAGGCACTATGTTGTAAATATGTCTTTTAAAATTACTTGAACTTGTTTGTAATACAGGGGAAATGGCTTGTTTTTAACAAATCATTCTTTACATTAACTTTATTGTTCTGAAAGCATGACACCGGCTTAATTAGCTCTTTGTAGTCATTTTATTTAAAACGGCTAAATGTCAGGTTATGTAAAATAGTGCAGAGCTAAGAAAAACTAATATGAAACTGTTCAGAACCTATATTGAAAGTTGCATCTTGACTCTTGAGATTTGTCAATATATTCAAATTTCTGTTTGGATGCAGACAGGCTACACAACCTGTGGCCCTCCAAGTATTTGGGCCTCCAGCTCCTAAAAGCTCTGTCCAGTTGTTCCAATGGTCAAGAACTCTGGGAGCTGGAGTACAAAACACCTGGAAAGCCACAGGTTGTTCAGGCTGGAATACAGATGTTACACTGAAGTTGCATTTAGTATATATTTAGCTTTCCTTTGCCACACTGTGTGACCCTGCAAAAATTTCAGTCATACTCATGATGGATCATTGTACAGGGGAACTGAACCAATTAGATTCTGGTATCTCCAATCTATCTCAATGCAAACAAACTAAAGGTTCTGGAGCAGCTTTACAGAAGACAGGAGAGAATACAACCCTTGCATAAAGTCATTTGCCCATCTTTAGCCTATCTCATCATGTCCATTCTATCACATAAACATATGGAAGAACTTAAAGGAAGACTGTATCTGTCATAGCATTGTTTTCTTCAGACGAATGATCAGAAGAAATCAAGCTAAATTTGTACTTATGGCTCTGTGGTGCAGTTTCATTTACTGTTTCTTCTAGCTTCAGAAAGATGTAAAAATGCAAAAGCTAGGGAGCTAAAACAATCTATGCATATAACCAGAAATGACCAGTCTGTCAAGCTTTACTTTTGCATTTTTCTCCAAACTCAGAGAAAACACAAAAAGGGCAAAGCAAAACAAAACTCATACTGTTTATGGACAGGACTTCCTTCTGATTCTTGCTACAAGGAGGGTGTGCGCTTCTGTGACCACAACAATGCATAATTCTCAAAGTCATGAACTGGATGTTGACTAGATATAGAACAAAAGAGATCAAAGGATCATGTGGGCACCATTTTCCTGGAGTATATAAGAAAGACCTAAATATATTTTGTAAGATCTACTAAGGTAGCATGGACAGGAATGATGCAGAAAGATGCAAATATATGAAAATAATATTGGCAATCATGTGGTAACCTAGAACTTGGAAGAATATGAATTATCCCATAATCATACTGGTGCCTACAGTCCCTTCATGCCCACTGGTGCAAAGAGCAAGCTAGAAAACGTACAAAGAAAAATTTTCACTATAATGTATGTTCCAGGCCTATTTCAGCCCAAAATATCTGTTCCAAAGCTATCTGGGCTAAATCTGTACTGCTTTTTTTGAAACCTGAGGGCTTGTCTATACAGGCTTTAAAATGCAAAGTCAACCAGAAGTTGCTCTTGGGTGCCCAAACAATGTTGCAGGACTTCTGGTCCTTAATATGGTAAAACTCCCCCATGCTTTAGACAGAGTGCAAACAGCATGGCCTGCTCTTAAGCAAACTAACCCACCATCCACAAAGGCTGTGCCATCATCCCCATTTCCCACAGGAAAAGGGGGTTGAGTCATGTTGCCTCCTGACACTTCAACAGATAGCCACAGAGCTCCAATATTGGTAACAGGGACAGGAAGGTTAACGTGATGGTCTGGCAATGCTGAATTAGCTTCAGTCCAGCTTGACTACACCTTGCCACTACTGCAGGATAGACGCAGAATATGTTACCATGTCTAGGATTTTGTGGTATGTGTAGATGGACCCTGAGTTGCCATCAATGCACAAGATGCTTGAATGAGCCATACATTATGACAGGAACTTTTAGTAGCAATTTAACATTACATTACTCGTATGTTATAAAGAACAAATGGGATATAATGGTTTGCGGGTTGGACTAGGACTCCGGGAAACTAGAGTTCGAATCCCCACATGTGCATTGAAAGCCACTAGGTCACCTTGGACATGTCATAGTCAAAGAGGAAGGCAATGATGAACCTCCTCTGGACATACATTGCAAAGAAAACTCCATGATAGGTTCAGTTAGGTTCACCATGCATTCAAAATAATTTAAAGACACATAATAGCAAACTTCTCAAGTGCAAAGGCTCATGATGTAAAGTAATCTGGCATAACAAACAGATTACTATTTTAATCCAAACTTTTAGAAGGTTGAGTTTGAAATCTCATGTGGACTCTCATAGGTAAAAATCAATGGGGGGTTTTCCGTGCAAACACACAATAGCCCTTCAAAGTACATTAGCAAGACAGATGCTGAAAATAATTTCTGTTCTCACTTCATCTCTTCTTTAGCGGTTAATGTTTTACAGGAATGAGATTCAATGTAAACCTTCTGTACTACTATTCTTGTTGTTGGACAAGTCACATTACTAAATCTGTAACTATGCTGGCATAGAAAAGATACAACTGTCACCAAATATGAGTGTTATGTTACTATATATAGATATGATAGGAGAACCAAGCACAGCAACATTGGAAGGTACCTAAAATGAATCCATTCTCCTGGCCAGTGCCCTAAGTACTTTGTTTACAAATAACCTCTTTAGCATTGTATGGAACAAAACACGTGGTGGGAGAAACTGGGTAGATCTCATTTCCCTGAAATTTGTTTCAAATCAGAGAATTTGTAAAGACGAGAAAAGGCAAAACATTCAGTCGTATGTGGAAAACAATGTGTGTTTAATTTAGTTTAGTACCTAAACTTGTCAAATTTTGTTATTTCCCATTTTTAATACTACTGTGGTTATGCAATCATTTTATAAGAACAGTTATATTTTGTTTTAATGAACCTTTTATGTTATCTGTGTTTTAATGTCAACTTACATACCTCAATCTCCTGTCAAAGAATTTATTTGTAATGATGGTCAATGGCAGCTGTGCCCCTTATGTGTAATATTCAGACACACATTTCAAGGGTTTCTTCAGGTGAGCCCGCAGACCCAATTTTTTTTTTTACAAACTATTTTCCTTTGAATAGTAGACGTTTATGCTACTTTTCAAATTGGTTTTGACAACCCTTTCAGTTTTGAAAGTTATTTGGCATGTAGGAGGTGTGGCTGCCATCCAAAATATATCATGCCCAAACTCCTTTAGGTGCAGGACATCAGCTACCCAACTCTTTGATTTCAAAACTGAAGGGTTCCTTGTCAAACACCAATTAACAGAATAAGAGTTTAAAATTTTTCCTTCATAGGTATGATGTTATTGGACATCAAGCCAGACATCTGAACAAGCAAGGCTCTTTCCATTGGCACTGTTTATATCCTTCAACAGGTTCTCTGTTGTAATTAAAACACTGAGCAGAGGAGGGACATCACCACTTCAAGTTGATGGTTCCTCCAGCTCAGACCACAAGGCACCACTGAGTGGTACATTCGGCAAAGAGGCACAACAGAACATGTGGGCTAGACCTGGTTGAAATCTCCATGTAGGATCTTCAATTTGTCTGAGCCTCTAATAAAGCTTAAGGATGTTCAAGAAACAGATTAAAGATTTTCAAAAGATCCTACAATAATTATTGAAATAAAGTGAACATAAGGTATGACAGAGAAGCTTAAATATAGCGTAAATGACTTACCCACAGGACCAATCACTGCAGGAACTGACAAGAAATCAGAATAAAAGATGTATAAATGAATGAAATGGTGCTTCATATCTTTTACAATGTATTTAAAAATAGAGGACATTTAGATACTCACCCACCCACTGCTTCTTTAGCATAGGATAGTTTCTAGAAAAAAAAGAAATAAAAGGAAAGTCCAAGTAAATATTTGCACTATGAAATTAAAAAAATATGTGCCTTTGCTAATAGCACTCCCATAGTTTCTATTGTAGAAGAGCATACATAGCCTTCTCCAATGTTGTGCTCACCAAAAGTCATAGGCTACAATTCCCATCATGATTGAAGTTACAGTGAATCACAAACCTATGTTGAACAAATTCACAGAGAGAAAAGTCTTGGCTGTATGCTAAGGCCATGCTCTTCATAAAGCAGTGGTTCCCAACCTTTTTTTGACCAGGGACCACTCTCCAATATTCTCTCCGTAACCAAAAGGGTTACGAATCGGTTTTTGGTCAACTTTAGATTTGGTTCTGTTATTTGAGGTGCTGATTCAGAAAATTGCATTGGATAGACCACATCAGCTCTAGTTTTTGATACAGAAAATATGCCATCTAGTAGTTGCCACCTGCTCACCCACAGAAAACCATATTTAATAAGCTTCAACACTATAAGACAGTTTTGCGAGACCAGTTGCTCTCGTTGCAACAGTGTAGTAATGGTGAGGCCACGGACCATATTTTCATTCTTGCAAACCACTGGTAGTCCACAGACCACAGGTTGGGAACCACTGGAGTAGAGGAATATATCAACCCATTGTATTATTATTAAGCTTCAGCAGCTTTTTAACATATTTAGACTTTATGTTAAAATATTATTTCTCATAATCTGTGCATATTAAATTTAGGTGTTCAAGGGAAAAATATATAGCTCAAGACAAATCTGTTTTCCTTATGTTGATCTCAAACTCTGTTTTATTCCAGACGACAAGCAGAATTGAAAGGCTATACCCAAAAGATTCAAATTTGTTAAATAAAAAAAACCTTTAGAAGTGTGTCCCCAAAACCAGACTAGGAACAGTTAAATCAGTAATCTCTATTTGAAAATTCTGGTTATTAATGCCAGTACAGATTAAATACTAATACAGATTACAATACATATGCTTCAGAGACTTAAAAAAGTTCAATCATAAAAAAAAAATTCTTTACACACTGAAACAGTTAAGTGGTTTTTTGTACAGGGTGAGGCAGCTCCACCTCTCCAATAACACACCATCATAGTTGCAATTGGAAAACGGATATATGTGGTGAATCAAAGGCCACAATTTATTAGTTACCGCTGCAATGCAATACATGTGTCCTAGATACTGGCACTGACCAATCCAACTGTTGATGGATGAAACAATTTGTTCAGCCTGATACCAGATCCTTCAAGATGACAGGGAGTTGCCACATGGAGACCCTTCCCATATGGACACCTCTCCTGACTCTGCGAAGACAGTTGACCTTGGTACCCCTCCAGACCTGCCTCAGCTGGCACCCCTCATATCCCATAATGCAGCAGGACCCATGCCAAAGGCCACAGCCTTTAATTGGGACAAGAAAAAAACAAGTTTACAACATACAATAATGGAACCTATTAAAAGAAACATCTGCATGCTAAACAAAAATGCAAGCATTGAAAAATAGGTGGGTGGGAAAGCACTCAAAGACATATCAAGTTCCCAGAACAGCCTAATACTTCAGGGGCAGACCTGATTACAAATGGTAGTCTTCATTCTGTCCTACCCCCTTGGTCAATAGGACTAAATCCTGAGGTTTAAACCTATTGGCTGCCACTTCTTGCTCCTTCCAGGCAAGCAGCTGCACATGGCTTGTCAAGAGGAGGAAGAAATTGATAGTTGCGTATGGCAGCCCCTCCAATGTCACTCCACCCTTCCTGCAAATGGCCCAACACAATAAGGACACAATAGGGACTTCATTCCATGGCTTTAGAGCTGTTTCCATACACTTTGAAACAGAGCCCCACAGGAATCCCATGGAGGCTATCACATGACGTCAGGACACTTCTGGTAGGACTCTGCAGGGCTCAATTTTTGTTGCACATGGAAATGGAGCCCTAAAGCCAATTCAGGAGTTGGGCGTTACCTGACTCCAAATGGTAGAAAGCAGGGCAAAGACAAACCTTGTTGCTGAAAGGACTTAGGATGACTGGTGATCCCCCAAAAATGGGGAAAGACTGGAGGGAATAGGATAAGATGGTTCCCTCCACTTTCCCACCACTCATGAGATGAGGTCCATAGTCATGATGGAAAATTGCATGTTTAGGGCAAGACATCTCTGCGATACCACACCATACAGATATATGTGGTGGATAAAAGCCCACAACTTATTGGTTACAACACCAATGCCGTTGGCATACATGGACAACTTTGGGAGGTGGAGAAAGAGCAAGCCTGTCCCCAGCTACGCAATGATGTGTCAAATCTAGACCATGAATACTCCTATGTAATTGAGCCTTCTCTGAAATATATAACGAGGAATGTATCAAATGATCAAGCGCTACGAAATATTACAAGAGCTATTGTTGAACCCTGCTAGAAATATTACAGGCTGCTTGCAGTCTATATTATGTACCCTTGCTTGGGAGTAAGCTACACTAAACACATGGATGGTACTTCTGAGTACCTGTTGTGTTTATAAGAGTCAGCACATGTAAAGATGCTTAGTGATAATGGATAAGGAAAGGAATTTGCCTGTTGTCTGCAGGTAGACAAAATTACTACAAACATGCTTTCCAGTGTTGAACTCAACCACTTTTAAAACAGTTCCCTGTAAACATATATGCATGCATCTTTGGATCTAAGCCATTATTTTTAATATGAAAGAAAGAGCAGAAAGTAGTATTAGTGTTGCAACAGAAGCCATTTCTGTGCCAAATCCAAAGTGTACTCCACTTCAATTAAAGTACCATAATCCAGTGCAAAATGGTAGGAAGGAAATTAGCAGTAACACTTTGTTGGCTTTTTATGTGAGACACTACGTTTACTAGATTGTATTCAATTTGTATTAAATTCAAAGTTTAAAAGCCTGTGATTGGACAATGTAATGTAGCTGATGCACTCATGAAAGCATCAAAAGAGCCAGCTCACATAGTCTGGAAAAGATTCTGAAAGTGTTGCAGAACCTGGAAAATACAGTTAGGTTGTAAATGAAATTATACCTTAGTGACAGATATATCATTTAGAAATGTCAGTTATTATGTTTTTTAAAAAATCATCTATGAGCATTCTTGATGTGGAAAAACTCTAGTAAAAATACTCTCCACAAAATTTAGATTTACAATGGACAATTCTTTCTCAGGGTGTATCTATACTGTACAATTAATGTTCCTTGACACCACTTTAACAGGCATGGCACAATGCTGTGGAATGCTAGAAGTTGTATTTTTGCAAGGCCTTAGCCTGCTTTGCCAAATAGTTTTTGTGTCTTGCCAAACAACAACTCCCATGATTGTTGGAGCATTGTCAAACTACATTAATTCTACAGTGTGGTTGGATTATTTAAGTCACAGATACCATTACACAAATGAAAGGTGTTTTATGTATAGTATTGTATCTTCATTACATATCTTTAATAAAGCGCTTATTAAAAGACATGTTAAAGTATACATTTGAATTTATATCTGATGATTCCTGTAACTTAGATGCACAAACAATATGAATTGTACAGCTTTCTGAAACAAGCACTGGAACTACTGAATAAAGAAAAAAATATCAGGAAGCACTGACTAACTGTAATTGCCTATTAATTATCGACTTATCTACTTTACAACTTTACAGTTTCTCAGAAACAGAATCTAGCACAACATGAATAGCACAAAAGCTATTTTTCTGAAACACACTGCCATCTAAATTGCTTAAACAACTGACCCGGTCAAGAGTAGCAGGCTTTAAATAACAGTTACCAGAAGTGTTTGGGATTGATAGTAAATGTAAGTGTGCTGTCATGTTGGATTTTGAGGGATTAAGCATCCCTGTCTAGGCTTAGGGCTCTTGAGGAAGTAGCTTTTACAGAGTGTACAATATAATCTCTAGAGTCAAAAATACTTTTATAATTGCAAGATATCAATATTCAGGAAAAAAATTCAAATGTAATATATTGAATAGATGAGTTAAAAATAAAGGCTTCACTTGGAGCACAGTACTTAACAATACTGATGGAATTCACCAGAAGGTCTGACGTTAATATTGATGTCCATAATTTATAGATTTGTTATATTTACTTGATTCTAGTGTTCACATTTTCTGACTAAATAACCTTCCCAAAATTAGATTGTGCATTAGATTCGCGTAATGTGTTAAATACTTTTTTGGGTTTCAGGGTTTTGAAAACTGAGTTGCACATTAGAGTCGATGGTGCATTAGACTCGAGTAAATATGGTACAGTATTTCGTTTAGGACCTCATCACACTAGCATCTATCCAGTTTAAATCCAGTTGCTGCCTCCTGCAGAATTCTGAGGTTTTTAGTTTAGTGAGGCTCAGGACCATTCTGGCTGAGCATTTTAAAGGTCCCTCCCTAAACTACAAACTCCAAAATACTATGAGAGGCAGCAACCCAATTTCAAGTGGATAGATGCTCTAGTGTGATGAAGTCCTTAGTCTCTTTCTTTTGAAATCCCTTGTTACAGTCGTTGTGGTGCAACAGCAAGCCCCCTTTGATTCATTCCTAGTAGGCTACTTGACTTTCAACTGTTTGAGAGTTTTTAGGTCAATCAAAACAATATGTGGTGGGCAAGTACTGGGGCCACTCCCACTCCTCTGAACCTCCCACACAGAGCAGCCCCACATACATCTGTGCTTTTTCACAAATCCTATCACTTTCTTTAACCATTTTGTGAAAATGAAGATGTTTGGAAGAAGTATAGAGTTCTGGTGTGCTTCTGGGAGTATTTCCACGTGTCTTCCTGTGTTTGGGGACTTTCTGCATGGATTAGGGGCAAAGAATGCAAGAAAATTGTGATAATTAGAAACATGGGTTGCGGGCTTTAGGAGACTCATAAGCTTCAGGAAAACAGATCTAGGATCCAGAGACCACGTGGACTGCAATTTTCCCATCCTTGCTCTAAACAAAGGTCCATGGCTTTCTTGAAAAGCTGTACCTCAAAAAG